CTTCCCTCCCTCGAGTTTTTGTAAACCGGAGTTTACTGACACAACGCGCCAGGCCTCGCCGCAACCGATACCCTCCCAAGCCGCCGCCCGCCGAGCATCCCGATGTCGCTCAACGGGCGGTACAGCATGTCGTTTCAACGCCGCGGGGCAGAGCCCGGGCGGGTCGGGGTTGGGGCCAGGCATGATCGGAAACGGCGCCGGGGCGAACGAGGTGGGGCGCCTGAGCCCGAGCATCATCAGCCCGGTGTGGCAGCGCCTGCCCGCGTTCCCTGCGTTGCCGGATTTGTCCGCCCCGGCGCTCCCCGCCGCAAGTGGGAGTGGTAGTGCGGGTGGTGCAGTTGCAAGTGGAAGTGGGAGTGGTGGGAGTGGGAGTGGAGGTGGGGGTGGGGGCGAGGGGCAGGGGAGTGTTGGGAGGCGCTCGAGCGTGATATTTGGGCCGCATGGGAGGGAGGCGAGCCGGAGTGTGGTGCGGAGTATGCCGGCGCTGGCGATGGAGGGGGCGGGGGCGGTGGAGGTTGCTGCGGGGGAGAGCGATGAGGAGGATGGGGAGGGGGAGGGGGACATGGATATGGATGGGGACGAGCAGGCGCAAGATGGGGAGGACGACGATGCAGGTAGGGAAAGCAGAGACGGCCAGTCGCCGTTCGTCCCGCTGGCGCCGCCGTCGCTTTCGCTCGATATTGCGGGGATGCTCGGCAGGGACAAGAAGGGGAAGGGCAGGGCGCGCGCCGCCACGGTCGATGAATCCGGGACGACGCGTGCGATACACGCGCAGCCGCTCCGCCAGCAGGTCTCGCAGGGCAGTAGCGTCGGCAAGACGCCGACCGCGCACCCTGCGTGGACGGACTACTTCTCGGTGCGCACGCCGACGAGCGAGGGCGGGCGCACGCCGCGTATGCAGACGATGCCGGTGTCGCCTGGGGTGCGCGCGGTGCCGATGCCGCCGCTGCCTGCGCCGGAGCGGCCGGGAATGTACAAGCACGTGTCGCGGAGCATGGTGGATATCCTGCAGACGCCGATTTCTGTGGCCGACCCCGAGGACGACGAGGTCGAGCCGGTGGATGTGATTTCTGGGAAGGGCAAGGGGAAGGAGCCATCGGACGCACAGCGCGGGGAGGCGCCGGCGTACGATGGCCCGCTGCAGCGCGCGGGCACCGTCAAGCGCCGCCGCTCGATGCCGGAGATCATGGCTGCGCCCCCGCCGTACACCATGCCGCTCTTCACCTCGCCGTTCTTCAACCTCGGCGCCAAGACCGACGGGCACCCGCTCGCCCAGGCGCGCATTGTGCCGCGCGACGACGAGGGGCGCGAGGTGCTGCCGAAGTACAGCAACGAGATCTTGCTAAGGGGCGTGATGCCGCGGAAGATGGAGTTTAGCGCGCCGGGGGTGCAGGCGCGGGATCGGAAGTGGCGGAGGGTCGTGTGCGAGCTGGAGGGGACGGTGTTTCGGGTTTATCGGTGTGCTGGGGAGGGGTGGTGGGAGCGGCGCGTGGGGGTCGGGGATGCGGCGGCGACGAGTGCGGTGACGAGTGCGGCGGCGGCGGTGAAGGCACGGGAGGCGGCGGCGGCGGCGAAGGAGGGGCAGGCGGTGAATAAGATTGCGGGAGAGGAGGGGCGGATACCAGTGATTGAGGGCGGGGAGGGCGAGGGGACGACAGAGGTGGTCGTGCCGCCGCGGTCGAGTATGTCGTCTGCGCGCAGCCGCGCGTCGTCGATCGCCACGACACCACCCTCGCCTTCGTCTTCGCCGACAGAGAGCAACAGGGACGCCGCCTCGATGGCATCATCCAGCGCCAGCCGATCGCGCTTGAACCTCGGTCTCAGCCTGCTCAAACCGCGCTCGCACGGGCGGTCGAAGAGCGATTTGCCGAACCCACCTAAAAGCCCGAATTCGCCGCCCCGGGCGTCGCTGTCCATCCCGCGGCCGTCGTTTGGCGGGAGCTCGGGCAGCAGTGGGAGTGGGAGTGCTGGCCCGAGTACGCTCGGTGCGGCGCTTAGGCCGTCGCGGTCCGAACGTGAGCCTGCTCAGCCCACGCACGCCGGTGACGCCCTCGAGCAGCAACGGCAAGGGGAAGCAGAAGTCGACGGCGAGCGTGGGGGGCGCGGACGCGGCGGGGACGGACGTGCCGGAGCCTGAACCCGCAGATCTCATCCGCGCGTACACGCTACAGCACGCCGAGAGCGGGCTGGGGAACGACTACGTGAAACGCAAGCACGTCATCCGCGTGCGGCTCGAGGGGGAGCAGTTTTTGTTGCAGGCGCGGGACGTGGGGATGTTGTGGACTGGATTGAGGTAAGCATAGCGGTGTTCATTTCTCGGGTGCGGGCGCCGGGAAGGCTAATCGTAACCATATTTATAGGGATTCCATAGCGCGACTAATATTGCGCTGGATCTGGATGAGCGGATCATGCCCAAGGGGCCATTGTTTCCCAGGTGGGTCCCTCGGTCTTTGTACCAATGCGTGTTGCTGACTCGCGTTCGCAGGCGAAGGAGGCGCCGTCCGCGGCCTGCGAATGGTGCCGAAGCTACTACTAATACTACTGATCCGCCTGCGGCGCGCGGAGCTGGCTGATGTTTTCTTTCGTTCTTTATATATCTTTAGGGCATGGTCTGGACTAATTCTATTGCACCAACACCCGAATAGGCACTGTTTTGTACAGCTGTACAAAGTAGCGCGCTCATGAATTAATTATACTGCACCAACACGCCTGTTTTGTAGAGCTGTACAAAGTAGCGCGCTCATGAGTTAATTATTCTACTGCACCAACACACTGTTTTTGTAGAGCTGTACGCGCTCATGAATTAATTATAGCTAATTGCACGTGACACAATCGCTTTTGTGATGACAGGCGAGTGAAGGCTATCTCTTGAGTCATCTCCCTCCACGTCTTTTCTCCCAGCCCGCCTTCTGCTCGCCGCCGGAGGTATTACTCCTGGTCGCCTTGTAACGTCGCCCATAAAAACTCTGCTTTACTTTGGATCCCCTTTATCGCGATACCCACCTTGTCGGATACCCGTATACAGCTTTTATAAAGCCCAGTTAATTGCGCTCGTTTCTTGTCGTTTTTCGTCATGGCGGATTCAGCAATAGAGATTGACCTCGACTCGGTCATTGACAAGCTGCTTGAAGGTCTGCGAGCCCGCATTCATCCGCGCCACGCCGAGCTGACGCGGTTGTTCAGTGCGAGGCAACCGCCCAGGCAAGCCCGTCCAGCTCCAGGAGTACGAAATCAAGTATCTCTGCACCAAGGCCCGCGAGATATTCATCAACCAGCCCATCTTGCTCGAGCTCGAGGCGCCGATCAAGATATGTGGTGCGTCGTGTGCTCGTTCGGATGAGATGATTGCTGACACGCCGGCGCAGGGGATATCCATGGGCAGTACTACGACCTGCTGAGGTTGTTCGAGTACGGGGGCTTCCCGCCCGAGGCGAACTATCTCTTCCTCGGCGACTACGTTGACCGCGGGAAGCAGTCGCTCGAGACGATTTGCTTGCTGTTGGCGTACAAGATCAAGTACCCCGAGAATTTTTTCATCCTGCGCGGAAACCACGAGTGCGCATGCATCAACCGGATTTACGGGTTTTACGATGAATGTGCGTGCTGGCGTTTTTTCTTTGCCGACGGAACTTACGTGGGTGCCAGGCAAGCGGCGGTACAACATAAAGTTGTGGAAGACGTTCACGGACTGCTTCAATTGCCTGCCCATTGCGGCCATCATCGACGAGAAGATATTCACGATGCACGGTGGGCTGAGTCCGGACCTGCAGTCGATGGAGCAGATACGGCGTGTTATGAGGCCGACGGACGTGCCCGACACGGGTCAGTGATACTGTATCTCCCCTTTATCGTGTGCTGAGATATTCTGCCCAGGGCTCCTCTCCGACCTCCTATGGTCCGACCCCGACAAAGATATCACCGGCTGGTCAGAAAACGACCGCGGCGTGTCCTTCACCTTTGGTCCGGACGTTGTCGCGCGCTTCCTTCAAAAACACGACATGGATCTCATATGTCGAGGCCATCAGGTGCGTCGACTCCGCGGTGACGTGTCGTGTACCAACAGCTAAAATGCCGCCCAGGTCGTCGAGGACGGGTACGAGTTCTTCGCTAAGCGGCATCTGGTGACGTTATTCTCCGCGCCCAACTACTGTGGCGAGTTTGACAACGCGGGCGCGATGATGAGTGTGGACGAGTCATTGCTGTGTTCGTTCCAGGTGCGCCGCTTCCCGCTATCGTTGCTCTTCCATTCTGACGGCGACACTTTATAGATTCTCAAGCCCGCCGAGAAAAAACCAAAGTACCCTTACGGCGGGAACACCGCGGCCACGCCGCGCAGGCAGAAGAAGCGCGGTGGCGCCTGAGCTTGCTGTTCCTCTTTTAGCATGTTGGTGCGGTGCGGCGTTACTTTGTGGATAGAGCTTTACCCTGGCGCGCGCGTGTAGGATATATTTTTGCTGCTGTTGCTCCATCATCGTCTTCTTTTATTATTTAGTTACTTTTTATTGGGGGACATGCGCTGGGCTTCTCGTACATACAGTGGATGTCGGGATTCGGACATGTTGTATGACTGCTGCATATGCGATACCGGGTAGAAACACGTTACTTCGTGCAGATATAGAAAGCCTCCCCGCCAGGGCGTGGAACCACCGCCACTGGTAAATTTGGAACTTGGGGAAGGGCCTCGCTCTGACAGCGAGAGTGGAATCGGGGGAACATGGGGAACACAGTGTCTACTCGTTCCCGCATTGACTTGTCTTTGGCGTCCCAAAAGGGAAGGTGGCTCAACGCCAACGTCCCAAATAGGAAGGTGACACATTTCTGCCCTCAATTTTTCTTCTACGCCTTCTGGGAGTACTTTCTGCTCCTCGGGAAAACATTTACTGGGCGTATTTCAGGGCAGGGAAGGTCTCACAACACCTTTGAAACCCGCAAAAACGCTCCCACGCTGATTGTTCGAGATAATCAGATTAAAGTGTTTCGATGAACAGAGGAACAAAAACTGATTCCACCCAGGTTCGAACTGAGGACCCGCCTGTGTTACACACAATTCGTGTTAGACAGAAGTGATAAACCAACTACACCATAGAACCGATGAAATGGAGGAAGTTTCCCGAATGAGATATTGACGAAGGGGTCCATGTCGAAGGAACGCGTGCGCGTCACTGCGTGGCGCGTCAGCCCAGTACGAAAAGGGGAAGGAAGGATGTAAAACGCGGAGGGAAGGGGAGGGAATGAAACGGACCCAATAATTGTTGATTCACGCGCCATGTATGGAGGTCTTGTTATGTTTGTCGTATACTCCATCGGCGTCGACATAGGATGCAGAGGGAGGAGGACGTGAATACGTTAAAGTGTCTGAATATATAAAAAAAGGCTATCAGTAAAGAATTTCGAAGAAAAATGGAGACGTACCACGAAACTCGTCCAGCGAGGATAAACGCCTGTCTGGGGATGCAATCGCACCCTCGCAGCACACGGGGCGTGGTGGGCCTGACACAAGCCGGCATGTTCCTCCACGATGGCGTGTCGCCGACATGGTGGTGATGGTCATATAAGAGACACATGTCACATGGCCGACGTGATCCCAGTCCCGGTGCTCCATGCAAACGAGGCTTCGCATAACTGAACGTGACCTATTTTTTTGAAGACGCTGGCCAACGACAGAAAAGGCCGATCGGCCTTTTCTGTTCTGCGCTCAGCTGCCACAATGTGCGAACAACGGGGATCAGTGGCCGACGATCGGCCTTTTCCGTTGTTCGCACATTGTGGCAGAAAGTGGCCGAGAGTCCACTTGGTTCAGAAAAGGCCGATCGGCATTACTTCGGGGGCGCCCGCTGCTGCGGAACATGGTTGCGTTGGGCCTGCCCGCTCCTCGGAACATGGCTGTGTCGGGCGGGACCTGCCGCTCCGCGAACATGGCTGCGTCGGGCTTTCCCTTTTAGGAAGTAGTGGTTCTCGGCCTTTTTGAACATGGGCGTGAGGTGCGTGGGGTTATTTCATTGTCAACTTTCAGGTTAGACAGAAGTGATAACCAACTACACCATAGAACCGATGAGCAGGAGGAAGTTTGGAGGTTGATCACGGCTCAGAGATTGCAACCTTTTTTTTTTTGATCGTTTGATGGGCTTGACAGCCTTGACATGTCCTCTGAGTGCGTAGTGGGTTGGTACATCTCGGTCATCACGGAGTCCATATGGGTTCACTGTGGCAGCTTGTGGCGCACACCAAAGCGACTCGGTTTTCAACCAAGTGAGTTTGGGAAAACATACACTGCACTATCAGGATATTCATTTCATGTTGGCCATTCGGAGGTTTGGATTTTCAGCTTGTTGCAAAAACCTCTGTATTGGGGAATATTTTTTGGTTGTGCACGGGAAGGCACGATGTGGGAAGCCCAATTTGAATGTCAAACTATTTTCTGACTCGCAAAATGCGTAGACTGAGAGTCTTACTGCTTCAAAACATTCAAGCAGACTTTTGTTGCCAGTGTTGATTTTTGGCGGTAAGCTCATGTGAGGTCATGCATTTCATTCTTTGAGTTTTCGTATTCTCAACCTCTTTATGGTGTGAAGGTCGGTGACTGAACCTCTTATTTCATCTAGAAGTTGTTCTACCTACGGGATGTATTCTACATGTACTTTTGTTTGGTTGATCATGGTGCAATCTGGTTTGGTTGTTCACCCTGCTCGTCTTCCTTCTCAAATTTCATACGGGATTCTCTATGGTTCAGATTCCATAGGCAGTTTCGTATCTCTTCGTGTTTTGTGAACTGGAGGTTAGGAATCACCATCACAAAGCTGAAGTGTGGTTTTTATATGTTTTCTTTGTACTCTCCATAATTTCCACAATGAACTACATAATGTACAAGAACAGTAGCTCCAAACCAATGGTACATAATTCATGAGGCAAAATAATGTCGGAGCTCAGACCAATGCTCAGCTACCTCCTAGTACATCTGGAAGAACAGATCCAAAAGCGCAATTGTGTTCTGAAAGTGAGACGGTCTTCAGGCTGGATGCTACTCATTGTGCGCACAATGAAAACATTGCTTGTCAGAGGGGAGGCACCTGCAATAGAAGGAGAGATAATTAAGGTCCTTTTGGGAGATTTGCCAGCAATCACTCTTTACAAGGGATATTCACCTTTACGAGATTACTGCACAAGTTTTAGCAACATTGAATGAAGGACCTTTCATGCTCCTGGTCATACTTTGCACCATCAAAAATATACAGTAACAAACTGCGAAGCAAAACGATCAGATGTTTGGGCAATGTACAGGCTTGCAACTAGCCACTTGTAAGTTTCTTTGTTATGAGGTCAAGCATATTGATCTGTAGTTTTGCCTGAGCACAAAAAACCGCACAGATGTCGGGTGTTTTGGAGGCAATGAGGCCAGAAGTTCGGATCAGCCCATTCTGAGTCATTAACAAGGAAGTGAAACACTTGCAAACAACACATCAGTTCAGTCAACCTGCCACTCAGACGCATCTCCTACATCTATAGACTAGAATGCCAAGACCTCTGGGAACCAAGGGACAACGGAAAGCAGCAGCCGAGCTTGAACATGAGCTTAACAAGCCTAGGTCAGCGCCATCCCTAGGTGTTGAGAGAGAATCCATCACTGCTCGAATAGCACATGACGATGTGTCGAGGATCCAAGGGGAGAATGTGACCAACCAGGCCAGCATTCATAGGCAGTGAGCAACCCATGCTGAAGAACCTGAAGATATTGCAGAGAGAGTACTGCAACTATGCACCAGACCCTAGTGAGAGGAACCCACTCCGGGTAGCTCAAATAGGGGCTTTGGGTTCTGGATAGGGGGTTGGGGTTGCATCCCAAGAACCCGAGAGGAGGAACCCAACTCAGGGGTGCTCCAAACAGGGGTTCCAACTGGATCCAAGACCGAGGGGTGCCTGAGGGGAAGTCAGGCAAACCAGTCTCTGTACAACCCTGCTAGGGAACTAGTGTGATGATCTCTTCCCCTTGGTAGGTAAGTGTCTCTCCTTGCTGCTACCTAATGGGCCAGATCCAGCACTGCTAGGTCGAGATCCCAAGGCAAGGGACAGAGAGTAGGAGCTCTGGTGTTGTCGAGTGAAAGGGGAGGGACGGTAAGACCAGAACAACAAGATAGGAACAAGAGCACTCCAGGCTCAAGTCCAAGAACCAAGCAATCCAGCCAAAGTAAGGCCTGAGAATAGACAAAGTAGAATCTACTGTATAGGGGAGATTCTACCGAGTTTATATACCTTTCTACATAAATCAAATACAATTGTGATCGGTTACTGTATCCAACATTAAGGAACATTAATGCTGATGCTCCTAGTCCCTATGTGTTATCACCATAGTGTCTAGGGGTCACCAAGGAGTCATGAGCATAAAGGAGCCAACAGGTGGAACCAGGGGAACACCTGTCACCATTCAGGAGTGTAGTTGTCTTGGCATGGATATCAGGAGTTAATATCCACCAACATAAATGAGTGAAGTCATGGCCCATTGGATATGGTCATTGGCATAAAGGAGTCTGGGTTGCTAGTGCAAAGAACCTGGGTTGCGTGTGTATGGTGTCATGCCCTCATTGTATGGATAATTCTATTCAGAAACCCCGGTTGCAGGCAGAAACCCCCCGTCCAAAAATAGGTTCTATACAGAAACCCAGGTTTCTGCCGGAGGCGCTGGCCAGAAGTTGCCCAATTTGGAATTTTTGTGGCAGCTCGACAATGTGGGGATCAAATCTTTGAAAGTGCATCGGCGGCCGTTTGAATTGTTCCGGCGGCAGCGTGCATGACCTTGAGGTTTGTTAACCCATACTCATCAGAATGGGAACTCACCGGTAGTTGCCGTGGCTCGGCAACGCGCGGCCGGCTCAGCCGCAGCCCGTTCTCAGTGTACAAGGGAAAAAAAATCTCGGGGCAGGGACCGATGTCCTCTGGAGGGTCAGCGGCAAAATATGTGCTGGTAATCTGGGCCACTGGGAAACTGCTCCGACAGAAGCCAAGCCGAACCGCGGCCAAAAACTTGAGTTGATCCACAATCAGTGTCATTCACTCCCCTGTGTTCGGAGACCCTACACGGTCACTTGTGACTCCAGAGGCAAGAAGAACCAAGCCATGCCAGGCTTGCCAGCAGGCAGAGGAAATGAACAGCAATGAAAGTCCGTTCCAGAGCACTGCCAGCAGAGTTTGTGGGCCTCCCGATTGGTGCCAAGCCACAAACATAAACCCAGCTCTGCCGATGGGGCCACGGAACAAAGCGAAGAGTGCAAGACCATTTACGCACACTCAGGACAAGGTCTTGAATGAACATGTTTGTTCGGCCGGGGACCCGGATCACGGAGAAACCCCCCAAAAGTTCAATAAACACTGGGCTTCCGAATAAGAAGCGGGTTTCTGTCTGCAACTGGGGTTTCTGAATAGAATTATCCATTGTATAGAGTCCTGGGTTACTGTGATAAGAACCCAGGTGGTAAAGTGGTGAGGAATCCATGTTTGCATGGATTCCGAATAAAGGTCCAAGGGATGTTCAGGTCGTATATTGTTGTCTGCCATCTCGAGCTCTCCAGTAGAGTCAAATGAGTGTTGTGGGCCAGGGAAGAACCCGATCAAAGATGGGCTATTCCCAAAAAGGAATGTAGTAGAATCCAAAAAAGGATATCTGCGATGCTGAGTCAGGGTGATTCATGACACGTGGATTCAGTGAAGGCTGGAAAAGCGAGCTACTCAGAGGCCAAACAGAGGAACAGTGTTCCCAGGGCCACTCTGTGGCATCGAGAACACAGCCGAAAGAATTGTTGACTTGCACACGAGAAGGACCAGGCTCTCTTGAAGGCCAAAGAAGATGAAGTTGTAGCCTGGCTGAAGGAGCTTGATGTATGGGGCTTGCACATGCATCATAGTCTTGTCATCAGGTGGGCTGATGCTCTTCTTCAGGCAGAGGTGGAGGCAGCTGGGGGAGAAGTGTCCTCCCATTTGGGCAAGAGTTGGTTCAGTTGATTCCTCCGCAGACATTGTGATGTGGGTACTGCATTGAGCAAACAGAAGGATGTGGCTCAAAACCAAGCCGAACACAATCCTTCACTCATGACCGAACTTT